GTGTGTGTGTGTGTGCGCATGAGAGAGAGAGAGAGAGAGAGAGAGAGAGAGAGATGTGTTCGAATCATACCTGCGGCGCATCTCATGCGCGGGGGTGCCGCACGTACGGCGCAGAGCGCATGCGCATGCACACACGCACAAGTGATGCGGCGCATTAAAAAAGTAGAAAAATAAAAATGTCCTAGTTGTGTCCAACCTCTTTTCCGAAGGATCCCTACAGCATATTAGCTAGGACCCGACGTCATGCAGAGGTACACTTCAAACTTGTACTCCGTGAGGGTGGGCAGAGAATATATAGTCTGCATTCGAATTCAGGTCTGTGCATCTCGGTTATGGGTCACTATTTCTTTGTTTTCTCGCTTTTCTTTTCTTTTCTCGTTTTTCTTTTCTTAGGAATACGTGCAGTGGCCCTAAGGGCCTCTACTCACCAAATGCACAAAAGACAAAACATATGGTGGCGTATTATTCCACGTTTTGCAGAAGATTCATTCTAATTTTGCACATTTCATGAGTAGTGCAGCCAAGCCCTAAGTTTCACGTGCAGAGACCAACAGGGCCTAGCTACGTGAGCAACCCATAACTGCTGAAACACAGACCTGAATTTGAATCTTGAGTATATATTCGGCCAGCTCGTTGCTTTACTTCATATTCACTGCCTAAGCCCATCTGCGCCACATCACAGACACCCGCCCAACCCAGACCAACCCCCCCACTCCCCCCCCAAAACCAAAATTTTATTGCAGATTCGGGGTCCTCTCGCCAAGCGCAGAACAACCCCAGTTTCAATATGTATATATACAGGGTCACCAGCCTGTACGTACGGAGGTCCACGGGCAGACCTCCGTACGTACGGGCGTTCGGGGTCTCGTACGGGGTTCGAACCCGACGACGTTCGGCCCCCGCCAAAAATTATTTCGGGGCCTAAAAATAATTATTTTTTTCTGAATTGTTTTTTGTGAGTTCTCTATGACCTGAGGTACATGCCTGTAAATTTTCAAGTCATTTGGCTAATCCAAATAAGAATTAAAAATCGCCAAAGATGGCGGTGTCAAAACGTGCTTGCCCACGTATTTTTTCACTTTTCACTTTTTGTTTTCACTTTAGTTCGGGGTGTAAACAATTTTATTATTTTTTGAAACTTTTTTAGTTGTTCTGTATTATATGAAGTACACATCTGTAAATTCTCAGGGCATTTAGCTATGCCAAAAAAAAATGAAAAATCGCCAAAGATGACGGTGTCGAAAACATGCTCGCGCACCCACTAAATTTAATTCTCTTTTTATTTTTATTTATTTTTATTATTAGTATTTGTTTTCCGTATTTTATTTTTATTTCAAATTTGGTAAGGAATTCGGATGTAATGCTCAGGCAAATCTTGTTAATTTATTTTTCTCCATAAAATATTTTTTTTTCAGATTTTTTTGATGACTTTTCTTCTTTTTTTTTTTTCTTTTTTGGGTCCGAGTTCGGCCCGAACGGGCGAACGCATCCCCAAGGGGTCCCATACGTTCGGGCGTTTGGGTTCGTGCGTTCGGCCCGTCCCAAACGCCGGTTACCCCTCTGGTTGCAGTGTTTTATTTTTCTGATTTTACTTGAAAGGAACAATGTCTGATCAGTCAGGGGGCTCAGCAGCAGCCACAGGTGGAAGTTGTGATGAAGGTGGAAGGTCAACAGCCTTCAACCTCCACTCCTCCTTCTCCACCTCTGACTGCTACTCAGCAGGAAAAGAAGAAACTGGAAGAACAACTGCGGCGTCAACAGGAACGCCTTGCAAAACTGGAACGACAAGAGGCAGCTGAGCTAGAGGCTCCAACAAATCATTCCAGAAGGGACTATCTGTTGCAGCAGCTAGACAAGGTGCTCACAGATGATCGCTGTGCACAGGTGACTAAACACCTGGCAGAGACTATCATCCTGGAGCACAAGATCACCAGTTCCTATTTTACGAACTGGGATGATCGTTTTGTTCGTTTGGAGCGTCGGGTTAACGACCTGGCAGATCAGCAGTCTAAGATTCTGGATGCGATTCAGAACTCGACTGCTCAACTGTCAGCCGCTAAGCTGATTCCCCCTCAGCTACCTCTGCTGAAACCCAAACCTTCACCTTCTTCTACACCTCCTTCATCTCCCCCTGGATCTGCGCATTCTTCCCGCACACCATCACATTCCCAAAAGGCCTCAGGCAAGGCCACCTATGCTGCTGTTACTGCAAGAGACTACAGAGGTCCCAAGATCCCTGCTCCCAACAAGTTTAGGGGTGATGACCCCAAGACCAATGTTGGGGACTGGGCTGCTGGGACCCGGGCTACTTGAGGGGCTTTGTCTGTGCAGAACAGACCAAGGTGGCGACTGTTCTGGGGCTGCTGGAAGGGCCTGCACTGAAGTGGGCCACTTCCACTTCCAGCAGTCTGTAGCAGTCCATGGAGGACTGGGCTTTTGGGCTTGGGGTGGACAAATTTCTGCAGGCCCTGGAGGACCGATTTGCAGACAAGGAGCGAGCCCGCAAGGCTGCTGACAGGATTGCTCGCCTGGGACAGCAGCGGTACAGTGGGACTCTGCAGGCCTTGTTTGCTGAGTTTGAGCAACTCACCTCCACCCCTGGGTTGGTCATGTCTACTGACGATCTGCTGACCAACTTTTGCAGGGCAGCGCCTGAGAAATTTGTTGTTGCACTGTACAGCGTTGGGCACAAGGACTAGAGGTCCTTTGGCCGCGCAGCCCTGGAAATGGAGGCAAAGCTCCATGTCCAAGCCCCATCCTCTGACAGGAGGAAAGGTGCCTTCCCTAATGGTGGCAGAAGGGGAAAGGCAGCCTTCACTCATGTGGGATCTGCGTCAGGTTCAGGTTCTTTCTTCCTCCGGTATTCTTCTATCCTCTTTCTTTCTTCTCTCAACGTGTTTTCTAGTTGCATGATGTTTTCTTCCAAAATCTCCTCAGACAGTTCAGGTTCTACCTTCTTTTCTTTCCTTTCTTCTTCCTTTGCCTTTGTCTTCTGGTCCATCTTATCCATATGCTCGACGACATAACGATCAAGGGCTATTCGCCCTTCCTTTATGAGTTTTCCAACTCGATTCCCGGTTTCCAGCATCTGAGCGGCAGTTTCAGCGGCCTTCAGTTCATCTTCTACAGCAAGCAGATTGAACTGTCCGTGAACATGCCGTTCAGCTTCTGGTCCGGCTCCATGTATCTCGCTGAGCAACTGGCGAAGAAGACCTATTAAAGTTTGCCTCCTCGCATCAATCTGACCACGGGTTCTTAAGACTTCTCCTTCTTCATCAGCAAAAACAGTAAGAGGGATAGAAAAGAAGAAGAGAGGAATGAATCTCGTGAGGATGGAAGCACGCAGACATTTCCAGAGATCAAGTCGTAGTTCCCAACTTGTGATTGCTGCACAATAAATAATTTCAAAAGACAGAAATAAATTCCACGGCTGCACTCAAATTTCAACAGGAAGAATAAACAAAATTAAGAAGAAACAGATTCTCAATTTATTTCTACTTCTTTGTTGTCTGTTCTATTTGTGCTGACGTACTACAAAGAGTGCACAGGTACCGCAGCCACGGCCAGTGTGGTCAAGACACAACAACACAGGTGAGTATGCAAGACAACCACAGAACAACCAAGACAAGTGAGTAGGTCAGCCAACAAAATCAACAACAATCAGTAGTCAGTCTTCCTTCCTCTACGGCTGCACCATCTGCAGAACCAATGCAGCCAGACAAAAGGGCCAGTGTGTGACACTACAACAAATCGTGAAGCCGTACCGTCTGCCACCACACAAGTATCAACACCTCACCTGCAGCAGCGTGCCAAGCATGCCACGCGTCACCCTTGGAATGCCAATGCAGCACATGTGCCACGTCAGCGTCAAGAGCCAGCTCGGCTTTCTGAACGGATGCCACATCAACAATGCCTGGACTGCCAACTCATCCAACACTAGTATGCCACATCAGATCGAAGGAACACTATTGATGTGTGGAGCGCCACATCAGCAGGCAAGTCGCATCACACGTACGTGCCACGTCAGACAATGCCCTGCCTATAGACGTCATACCACTTAGGCAGAGCGCCACATCAGCAGTCCCAAGTCCACACTCTCTCTCTCTACCAGCGCCACCTCAGCCTGTTGCCAACGATGCTCTTGTCGGTATCCCAATGCCCCGTTAGCAACAAAGCGCCACATAAGCAATGTCGTTGTCTTCTTCTTCGGAGTGTCCACGTCATCATCTTCAAGGGAGGCTGCACGCACATGTGGTACTCAATGTCTAGATGCGCGATATTAATCGCGCGCATTTATAAACGCGTTTTGTCCCTGACACGTGCGGCACCTCCCACTTACCTGTGTGCCACGTCGCGACAAAGGAGGTATGCTCTCATACCAAATTGTAATGAACCCAGACTGGAAGATACTCGTCAGACGTCGAAGTACAAGGTAACTCAGATCTGGACAATGTCTCTAGTAATCATGAAAGTGATCTCTGATACAATGCCTCGTTACCAATAGACTAAGAGAGTGGATGGGGAATAGACAGATAAGAGGGTGGAAGAGATAATCAATGACCACCAAAAGAGTAGCCCAACATTACCCAGTCCTTCTTCGGGCTTCCCTTCGCCTCCGCATCATCAAACAGTATCCCGTAACGAGTCTAACAAGTCCTGACCACATAGAAGTGCCACATGGCACTGTTCCCTCATGAAGACAATGGAGACAATCAGCAGCGCATAATATCGACGTCAACCTCAAGTAAGTACCCTGTTCCTCAATCATCCACATATCCCGATCTCCCTCCTCGTCGCGACCAATCACCCCGTGTAGACAGCGTGGCCAGTGCCATGTCAGCGATGAAGACAGGTGGCATGTGCGACATCAGCATTATAGACAGGTGGCATGCACCACATCAGCAAGGCTGGCGCTCAGAAAGAAGGCGCCAGAATGTCGCCACAGTCCCGTGTCGTCGTTCATAGTGCCAGCATCAAGCCAGCGTCCAGCCAGCGCCCAGCCAGCGTCAAGCCAGCATCAAGGCAGCATAGCAAGACTGAATGTTCACTCCCTGGAGACCAAGCCTTATGTATCGTTTGACGAGGCTGACCAGCCTCAGGTCTCCCACCCACGGTGACTCAGATTGACTCACAGCCGAGGGCCTGGATTGCGTACAGTTGCAGACTTCCACTTGGTCCTGATGCTGTCTTGGTACGTGCATCCAAACAAGTGAGTGTGTCTGACCTTCGGCCTGCGCTGGTCCGTCTTGACTTTCACTGTAGGGCCTCAGGCAGTTGACCGAAGTCAACTGTCGGGCGCTCAGGCCCTAGGTTATTTCCAAAAGGCCTTCTGCCCCTTCGTCCTCTCGGCCAGAAGTTGGGTTCGCGGCCTGTGGCCCCCTTAGTCATTCAACGAGGCATAATGAACGGGTTATTGCAATACATAGGGCCTGGGAAAAGTTGGCAACTATCAGGACATTTTGCAAACACGGACAGTACACAGTAGTGGTATTTTGCAAAGATGACAGATCCAACCGACGCCACAAGCATTTCGGAAAACCTTTTTTGTGTCAGAGGGGTATTCCGCTCTACCCGCATCTTATACGGGCATTTTGGCATATATCCCAACTTATAGGGCTGTTTCACAAATTATCCCTTTAATTAATTTAAACGAATTTAATTAATTTTAAATCTAGGCTACCAGAGTGGCCCGGGTCTACGTGACCGCCCGGGGCAAAAAGAAAAACAAAAATAAAAATTAATTTTTAATTTATTTTTTTATTAAATTTGGTCAGGAATTTCAATGTGACCCTGAGGCAAAAGTTGTTCAGTTTATTGTTCTCCATATCATTTTTTTTTTTTGATTTTTTCGATTTTTTTTTTTTTTTTTGGCTGGGAGTCTGGGACCTTCCCTAGTCCTAGCACGGCCGGGCCGCCCCGGAAAATAGGGTGACCAGGGCGGCCGAGCTGGTAGCCCAATTTGAAATAGATTTAATATGAATTTAATGGACTAAAGTAAGTTGAAATTTAAATTAGTTTAGTATTATTTAATGGGTTTTAAGCTAGGCTACCAGAGTGGCCCGGGGTCACTTGCCCGGCCGGGCCAAAAAAATAAAAATAAAAAAAATATTTTTAATTTTTAATTCTTATTTTAATTTTGGTGACGAATTTCGATGTGACCCTGAGGCAAAAGTTGTTCAGTTTATTTTTCTGCATAACATAGTTTTTTTTCGGATTTTTCGGATTTCTTTTTTTTTTCATTTTTTGCTGGGACCTCCTTGCACGGGCTGGCCACCCGGGACCCGGGCGGCCCGGCTGGTAGCGTAGGTTTTAAGTTTATTTAATTAATTGCCGAGAAATTTTGAAAAAGGAATTGCAGAACAATTGGGAGAGAAGGGGGGAAGAAGTTCTTAAAAGAAAATAATAGGATTCGGGTTGATAAGAAGAAATGGAAGGTTTAATTAAAGATTACAATTATTTTTTTTTTGCGAATCAATCTTCTCTTGAAATGTCAAAAAGGAGAATAATTTGGATTGTGGAGGAGGAGGAAATTGTGGAAAAGAAGTGTTTTGATAATCTAAAAGAAAAGAAATACCAAAGAATAATAAGTCCCTAGACTATCCATAGAGGTAGTGGTAGGTAAGTAGCGAAAGTGAATTGAAAGAATTTGAAAGATGATGAAAGATTTGAGAGAAGAATATAGTGTATGCAAGGGAAATAAGCAATAGCGAGATGAAAATTCCAGATCACACCATCACATTGAAAGCCAAATAGTCACACCGTGTCCAGAGAGCAGCATTGCACCAATAATACACCAATGGAGGTTCGTAGCACTGAAAACCAATGTTCATGGAGAGCATACTCTCTCCTCTCAACAAAAGAGTCCAGTTCCTTCACACTCACACTTGGCGCTCAGCGCCCAGCCTACTCATACACAGCTACTACAGACTACAAAATGACAATGCAACTGTTGACATCAGCGGCAGCCCGAAGTACTCGAAGATGTCGCCCATGCAGACCATCACCAATACAAGGTATGTGCCCTCACATCATCATCATCATCCTTCACCTATCCCCTGACTACACCCACGTCTATCCTCTGTTTCATCCGAAGACCACCCCTGCGCCTCACTGTAGTCCAAGCCCAGCCTGCTATGAAGGCTGGCTATGGCGCTGCCCTCAGCTGTGCCCTTCTTCCCTGCACGACCGCACGTGCTGCACCTCGCCTCTCAGCGCCAGCCAGCAGCCGCGAGCCTTTGCTCCAGCAGCGCTGCCGCCAGCATGTGAGTGCTTGAATGAGGCTGCCTGGCCAGAGCTCTTTCCTTTATGGAAAGAACTGGCCTGCTCGCGCAGCCTGGCTGGGCTGGCCTGTGCCCAGAAGCTGCCGGAAGGCCCCAGGAGGCTGCCTGGATGCAGCAGCTACTGGGCTGCTGGGCCTAGTTCGATTGGGCGCCCAACTGTCTCTGTATGAGGCTGCGAATCACGCCCAGGGCCTGCTTTCTTTGGAAAGGCCCGGAAGGCCGTGGAAATGTCTTTGTTGCTCGGCCTGTGTTTCTTTCAACCAACTGGCGCGTCGCAACTGCCTGGACCCCAAATATGAAATTGACAGTCGAGGGCCTCTTGCAAAAAGCCAGGCATGCCTTCACTTAGGGCGGGCACCTCCGCATTCACTTAGGGTGGGTAATGCTGCAAACAGGTCCCCATAGGCCAACCGAGGACCCTGATCCTCGCATTCCCTCCTCCTTTACTTCGTGAGTCCTCTGATAAGTCTCTTATTCTGCAGGCATCTTCCCCTTGAGTGCTCTTTCATAGCCTGCAATCACTTGAGGTGCTGTTCTCATGAGTTCTTCTCGTGTGAACCACCGGTCTTCTTTAGGATCCAGATGATATTTGAAGCTCACACGATACTGCATTCTCGGTTTAGGAGGTCGCCCTCTGCCTGATGGTCGAGAAACAGGCATGACTCGATGCTCAACCATCTGGTCAATGTCCACCTCGCCGTCCATGGTTGGGGGCAGCATTGATCTTCTGGAAGGGAACTGATCAGTGGCAGCGAAAGGGGCCAGCTTGGAGGCATGAAACACTGGGTAGGTGCGTAGGCGTGCAGGAATACGGATCACGTATGAAGGCCCATCTGGTTGATCCCCTACAATGTCCAAGATCTCCCAGGGCCCAAAATACTGCGGCATCAGTTTTTTAGATATCCCTATCTCCTGACCTAGTTCAGATGACTTTACCCAGACTCTATCACCTACCTGCTATGCTTATTCTCGGATGCGATCATAGCAGAGACTTCTTAATATGTTCGACGGCCTGCTGCAGCATCTGTTCATATTGGACAGCAAAGTCTATGCTGCCAGGTGCTGCAGTGGATTGTCTTTCTGGTAGCAGAAAGTCAAGGGCAGTTCTGGGCTTCCAACCAAGATGTAACTGGTTGGGAGTCATACCGGTAGTACTGTGCACAGCATTGTTGTACAAGCTGGCAACCAGCGGTAACTTCTCGTCCCAGTCATCCTGACTTGGCTTAATGTAATGCCGAAGCAGGTGCTGTACTACCCGGTTCATCTGTTCTGCCTGGCCATTTTACTCAGGGTGATTCCCTGATGTCATTTGGAGTTTGGTGCCCATCTGTTCAGCTGTTGACTGCCACAGTTCGCTCGTGAATCTCACATCCCTATCACTAACGATGGACGTAGGCAACCCAAAATCACGTACCCAATTATCCATAAACAGTTTGATGACATAGTCAGTTTTGGCTGTTTCTGGCATGGCGATCAGTCTGGTGTACTTGGTAAAACGGTCCACTATGACAAAGATGTGTCTCTTTCCTGACCTGCTGGTCACAAGGGTATCCATGAAATACATGGACACACTTGGCCTGGTCCTTCAGGGATCGGCAAGGGTTTGATCAACCCAAGCGGAGCCTGAGTCCTTGGTTTGTCCCTTTGACAAACCTGGCAGGTTTCAACATAACGTTTTGCATCTTCTAACATAGAAGGCCACCAAAATGTCTGCACTAAGTTCGCTGATGTCTTTCTATAGCCAAATCTTCTAACATTCTCCTAAAAATAAACTACGGAAAGACTCACTATTAGCAACACATAGTCTTTTATTCCCTGCCTTCTCGAGAAACATCGTAAATTCGTCCAAAGTCTTTTTGTCCTTTGTTTGGAATCTACGGATGATTTCTGACATGACTGGGTCTCCCTGGTAGGCTTCCACCAGCGATCGAGTGAGTTCATCAGATATGCCAAACTCGGTGACTAGCGCGCCCAGATAATCTGCCCTTCGTGATAGTGCATCAGCCACTTTGTTATACGTACCCTTGATAGGATCAAGTTGATAGTCATACATATCTATCACTTGAATCCATCTCTTGAGTGCGTCTGACAACACAGGGTGTGTCTTAATCCAATGCAAAGTTTCATGGTCAGAACTCACATAGAAAAATCTTCCTAGGAGGTAGTGTCTCCAATGGACTAGCGCTCTGTATAGGGCGTAAATCTCTCTCTCATACGTGGACTTAGCTAACTTTTGAGATGGCATCTTCTTGCTCATATACTCGGTCGGTCTCAACTTGGGCCCTTCTTGTTGCGCAAGGACCGCGTCTATGCCATATTGGCTAGCGTCTGTGGTCACAATGAATGGCTTGTCAGGATCCGGAAGTTTGAGAACTTTGTAGTGTGTCAGAGCATACTTCAATTTCTTGAAGCTTGCTTCACATTCTTCAGTCCACTCCCAAGGGGTGTCAAGTCGAGTTAGATCTATTAATGGGGAAGCAATAGTACTATAGTTCTTCACAAACAGACGATAATAGCCCGTTATCCCCAAAAACGATCTGACCTCAGTAACAGTCTGAGGTCTAGGCCAGTCACGTATGCTGGCCACCTTCGCATCTTCCGGCCTCAATCCATCTGCTGAAATTTCATGACCCAAGTACAAGATCTTGGTGCGACCAAACTCGCATTTGTCCAAGTTTACCTCGTACTGGTGTTGTCTAAGGAGACCTAGCACTGTTTTCAAGTGTTCAGCGTGCTCCTCTACAGTCCTACTAAAGATAAGAATATCGTCGAGGTGCACGACGATAAACTTGTCCAAGTACTCATGAAATATCCGGTTCATCGCGTGCTGAAATGTACCAGGCGCATTGCATAGGCCAAAAGGCATCACCACAAACTCGTACAGACCGTACCTGGTCTGGAATGCGGTTTTGTGTTGGTCCTCATGTCTAACGACAATTTGATGGTATTCGGACTTCAGATCTATCTTTGTGAAGTACCGGCATCCCTGCACTCTATCCAAGAGGTCGTCAATGCGGGGTAGGGGCTCCGCGTTCTTGACGGTGATGGCATTGAGGCCCCTATAGTCAATGCACATCCTTAATGGACCTCCCTTCTTTGGAACAAATAAGACTGGCACACCGTAAGGGGAGGTACTAGGTCGTATCCATCCCTTCTCTGTGAGCTCCTTGAGTTCGAGGCGAAGCTCATCTAACTCTCCGGGAGACATCCTATAGATTCGTCCTCTAGGTACCTTGCTACCTGGGACAACCTCTATCGCACGTACAACCTCCCTTTCTACCACGCCTGTGGGCTCCTCAAAAAGGTCTGAATATTGTGCGACGACTTTTTCTATCTCTGGGGGTGATTTAACGCCCTCCCCTTTCTCAGAGACAAAGACTAGATACATGCCCTCCTCTTGATTCTGCTTATAGTAGTTATAGAAGGATGAAGCGGACATACAGCCGTAGTTTTCTATTAGACTGCTAGCTTTATACTTCTGCAATCTAACCGTTCTACCATTGGGTAATTTGTGAATCAACACCTTTCTATCCCAGTCAAACTGAGGTTGCGAGACTTTGAGGTAGTACATGCCTAGTAGCATATCGAATGGCAGTTCGTCGCTCACCAGGAAGGAGATCTTGTGGATCACTTCCCCTCCTCCATAGGAAAGGTGCAGGCTACGTCCTTGACATAGTCTTTGACAACCATTTGGTGCTTGTTGGCTAGCGTAAAAGCTACAGTTCTGCTAAGCCGTTGCACTTGGTCCCCTAAGCGCAGTCTATCCACACAAGCACGGCTGATGAAATTTCGCGTAGAGCCTATGTCTGCGAAGGCGCCAACCTTGCGGCTGCCTACATCTACTTCTACCACGAAATGTTCACCCTTTAGACCTCTACTGATCATCGCCCAAGAGTCCCTGGGGTCCTTCCCTGACCACTCAGTCTCTAACTCTTCTAGGGCCTCAGACACATCTCTCGAACAGAGCGTCGGTGGGTCTGAATGTGTCTGCGGGGCGATGTGTGGGTCTCTAGCCTTGGCCAACGCCTGAAGTGGGGAAGGCAACGTTACCACTTCAGCGCGAGTAAGAGCGGCTAACACTCCTACTGGCCCGAGGTGTTTCCCTGTCAGCTGCTCGCAGAAGCACTCCGAGGATTTGAAGATAAGCCCACCATCGTTGGTGAGGCTACCTTCGTGGTGACCTTCTTGCTACGGCAAGTCCCAGACGTGTGGCCATAGTTGCCACAATTCATGCATGTGCCCCTGGCAACTCGGTCCCTCCACACCTCGTAATCCAAACCAAGCTTTACCCATGCGGGTGTCCCTTGGTCTCCCTGACCCGTGGACCGTCCTGCCTTCTTCTTCCCGGTCCCCCTAGCCTTTTCCTTGATGGGTGCCACGACTCCCCCATCCGAAGTCTCACTGGCCCCATCCTGCTCTGTCAACTCCCCAAGGTCTGGGAAATCGTCAATCTCAGTCGTTTGACCATCGTGGTCAACGAACATTAACTGACCCTTCTTCTTCAAATCTTGGGGTAGTCTCTTCCTACCATCATGAGATGCCTTATGAGCAGATCCCAACTTTGCCTCTATATCCAGAGCTTTCTCACTAAAAGAAGCGAAGGTGTGTTGTTCGACACAGGCTTCATCAACCAGCTTGGTCCTTACCTCTGCAGGTAGGCACCTTAGGTAATCCGTCAGGAGAACCTGCTGGTCAAAGCGCACACCAGGTACCACGAGTAGTCGCTCTACGGTATCCGCGAGCTCTCTAACATCCTTGAACCTACGGGCACAAAGATTGTTGATAGCATCGATGGCCTTCTGAGCCCCTTGCGGGTCATGCCACCTGTTATATACGGACCGTACAAACTCTTCCAATCTCTGGGCCTGTGCCCAGGCATCGAAGTTTTGACCGTAGCCCTGCTGCTGCACTATACCATTCAACCAGCGGGCTGCTGATCCCTCTAAAAAGGAAGTAGCCACTACAACTTCTTGCTCTGGCCTGGTGAGCTTGTGCCTCACATAAGTAGGCACAGTCCTCACCCAGGTGTCTAAGTCCTCTTCCTTCTTCCTATCTCCAGAGAAGGGCTTGGGACTCATTAGAGGTATCTTAGGCATCCACTACATAGGCTGCATGGGCCCAGGGGCTTGCTGCAGCGGTTGTATAGCCACTGAAACAGGTTGTTGCACACTAACCTGAGCCTGACTTGACAGTGGGACTGTAGTTACCACTGTCGTGGAGGGTACGACTGAGACTCTATGAACCGGACCACTAGTTGCTGCTAAACCACCTAGAGGGGGCATGCCAAACATAGGAGAGAAAGTTTGCCCTGTGTGTTGCGGCATCGATGAAGGACCCGCACCCGAGGGAACTACAGCAAACTGCGGCTGCCTCACTGTTGTGCGAGGAGCCCGAAGTTCAGCCAGGATTTGTTTCTGGCCTGCCACCAATTCGGCCAGCAATTCCTGCTGGACATTCTGAGATTCTGCCACTGAGAGTAGAGCATTACGCAACACACGGCCAGCAGGGTCTAATGCCGCCTCATCTAGTCCTTCCAGTCTGCCTAGCTCCTGCATTCTACTCCCTAGCCTAGCCTTCCTAAGTATGGCTTTTCTTCTCCTCTCTGCTGCTTCGTCCAGCTGCCGCTGTAGCTCATCTTGAAGTTCTTCTGCTTGACGGATTTCTAAATCCTCCGCCGTGAGTTGAGTTTGCTGGCTGACTCGCAAGCTAGCAATCTGACTAGTGGTCCCCTGAGAACCACTCTGATTGACTCCTGACGAAGTAGACTGTGTAGAGACTTGCGACATAGATGAGGTAGCCATGGTTGCACCGGTACTAGTCTTGGCACTATCCTCAGCTGTCCTCGCTCTCCTTGCCACTGTTCTCTCTCTAGCCTCTCTCCGCAATCTTCTCTCGTCTCCTGGACCTAACTCCAAGAATGTCAAGGGTCGACTACGAGCAGTCGCGCGAGTTGTCCTACGGTCGTCCACTAGCAACTCCTCCTCACTAGTGCTTGCATCACTCATGAGCTACAGTGTGTGTGATCTAAACTAGAATCCACACTTAATCCTACCTTAGCCGGACACACAACCGATTATGAACCACAACTAATTTCGGTCGGCTGGAACAGAAACAGTTAGGTGATATAGTAACAAATAATGTCATGTCCTACATAATATATTAAATTTATTTTTAGATTACCCTGGAACAGATTGCAATACAACAAAGATCTAATCTGTCTGTAGTTGTCTGTCAGTTGTTAGCAAAGTCTGTAACAACTAGATAATCAAAAATAAAAATAACATCTCATGTTGGAGATGTATGCTTGATGGCAGATTGTCTGTTGATTGCCACTGCGAACAGTTCCTGTATCCTTCTTGAGTGGTCACTTTGTGTCAACGTTCCTGAGCATGTGGTTGAGCAGCGTGTCTGAAGGTGTGCAATCCGGCCCACCCTTGTGCCCCAAGCCCTTGCACTCTTATTTACCCTCGCATGCAACGAGCCTTACACCCGGTTGATCTGGCTGATCAGGAGGAATTTAAGGAGAGCCCCCATCTCTGCAGGAATTATTTAACGTCGCAGACAGGACGACGATCACAGCCAGATTGAAATCCGAGTCCCCAGCCAGAAATGTTTAAAGACGGTTTGGAAAGCGTCTGTCCCAAAGGGCTGGCATGCCCTGCATGACCTCTATTGCGCAAGCAGCAGAACAAAGGACTTGTGACAAAGCATGCGTGTACTAGTCCCAGCGGGTTGGCATGGTGACCGTGACCCGAGTGCTTCGTCCAGGGCGCTTTAGAGGCTTCGCCCGTCTCCCACCAGCTTGCTGCCCAGGAAGAATGTCGACTCTCAAGGTTGAGCGCTCGCGACACCTCACATCGAGAGGACCCTCAAGACAGTACTCACTTCCTCACGGTAAGAAGAGATGAAGAGGGTAGATAAGGAAGAGAGCAACGTACCTCTTAAATGCTGCCCCCAACCACAGATTTCTCACCGGCAACCTGATGTGCAATTATGATGACCGGTCTTTGCCTCAGCACAACCAACAGCAGAATGCGGTTCCACCTCGGCTTAATATGCCACATCAGCAAGCTCTCATCATCCAGCATACATCCCACATGTCACCACATAGCTCCCTGGCGCGTCCACTCTACCCTGGGCCGCCCAATGTTCAACGCCAATGCCTTATCACTGCCCCACACCTCATGCGAAGCACCAATAGCTATTGCGAAGAACCAATGAAGCGCAATATGAACCAGCTCCGATACCAAATTGCAAGGGAAATAAGCAATAGCGAGATGACAATTCCAGATCACACCATCACATTGAAAGCCAAATAGTCACACCGTGTCCAGAGAGCAGCATTGCACCAATAATACACCAATGGAGGTTCGTAGCACTGAAAACCAATGTTCATGGAGAGCATACTCTCTCCTCTCAACAAAAGAGTCCAGTTCCTTCACACTCACACTTGGCGCTCAGCGCCCAGCCTACTCATACACAGCTACTACAGACTACAAAATGACAATGCAACTGTTGACATCAGCGGCAGCCCGAAGTACTCGAAGATGTCGCCCATGCAGACCATCACCAATACAAGGTATGTGCCCTCACATCATCATCATCATCCTTCACCTATCCCCTGACTACACCCACGTCTATCCTCTGTTTCATCCGAAGACCACCCCTGCGCCTCACTGTAGTCCAAGCCCAGCCTGCTATGAAGGCTGGCTATGGCGCTGCCCTCAGC